GGGTGTGGGGAGAGCGCACCGGGGGGGGGGGGTGGGAGGAGACAGAGGGTGGCTGGGGTTTGGGATAATTTTTTTTTGGTTTTAAAAAATTATTATTAAAGAACAATTAATATTTGACCCAAAAAAAAAAAATTTATTGCACACATCAACACCAAAACTGGGTATCTCACTTGCCACGTCACTAAAGATAAAATAAGAAGAGAAAGGTTTAAATATAAAAAATTTGATTAAAAAGTATTAAAAACTCCAAACACCTTTTTTTTCGTGATGATAAACTAACATGAGGAATGGGGCAAATGCGAGGCGTAAAGGACGTCAAGTGTTCCTCCAACATATTTTCATTTGAAACTCCAACATCCTCTCCTCTCGAAAGGAACAACCTAGATGACATGTTTACTAATCCATAATTAGATTAGGAGGAATTGAATTGAGGAGGAGTTAGATTAAAGAGAATTAGATTCTGGATTGCTATTGAAGTTGTTTACTAAACCATATGAAATTGGGGTACGAATGGTACTAATTACTAAAATGTCCTCGTTATTGGGTTAAAATAGATGACAATTTTGAAATTTTGAAAATTGTGTGAGGATATAATGGGTTAAAAAAATGAATTCCTAATGGATTAGTTCTCCAGGAATTAGAATACCACCTCCCACCCAATAATTGAATTCCTCCAACATCCGGAATTTAATTCCTAATTTTGTGTGGGCCCCACTTACTTTTCAATTCTTTGATGTGAAGTAAACGCAGGAATCCTCCATAAGTGGAATTCAATTCCTGATTAATAAACACACCATGAATTCACACAATGTGATCCAAATGTGGTCCACAAAATTTGGCCTCTCTAGTGTTATTCCAATGGAAATTATTCATCTTTTAGGCTCTCCTTTAAAGATTTTTTTTTTCAGCCAAACTCCTTTAAAGATCGCCTTAACAAAAAACTATGAAAATTGTAGATGGACTAGCTAGTAGCTATTTGGTTGTTATCATAAATTTTATTTTGATACAAGCAATTATTTATTAGATTATATATATATATATATATATTTTAAATTCAAGCGATACTTTAAACTACAAAGGAGAGAGGGTTTCTCACACGCACACACACTACCAAGGTGCTATAGGGGTTCGAACATGAGATCACTGTTTTGCAAGTCAAAGCTCTTTCCTACTGGGCTAGACTCCTATTAGATTTCAAGTTATGACACATTTATTTACAACTACTGGAAATAAGAAAAGAGAAAACAAAATGACTTCCATGAGTGACTTTCCCTATGTTTTTTTTTTGTAGTTATACAAGGGATAATCTTTTCTAATCTAATATAAGGATATGGATCATCTGCTTGGATTTTATCTGCCGTAATATGCTTATTTCTCTCATGTATACGCCATCTCATTAAAATTTAATCCAAGGAATTTTAAGTTGATACATCATCTTTAAAACAAACCCAATTTCCTTATAATTAAAAAATTAAAAAAATCCCCTGATTGAAGTAATGTGAAACTTAACCCCTAACCTAACGTGAACCTCTTTTTTTGTTAAAAAAACGTGAAACTTAATCAGCTGCAGTCATTTTCTGTTTTCTCTTCCAATCTCTGCACCGTCTTCCCCAAGGATCCTGAGTCTTCATCTTTTTGCTTTTAATGGAGATTATGACTACTTTAATTCTACTTCCTACGTTCTATCTTTTCTCTAAAAGGGATGTTTTTTTTTTTTGCCGCTGCATTCCTTTAAATACTTCTTTCTTTTTACGATGGGAGGTTATAAATGGTTTGTTTGCTCCAAGAACCCTGTTGGGTAGGGGTGGGCACGGTTCGGTTTGAACTGGTTTTTGCCTCAAATTGGAATCGAATTCGATACTATTTATCCAGTTTGATTTGGTTTGGTCCGATTTTAACAAAAAAAATTATAAAATCGTTCGGTTCGGGTTGAATCGGTTTTGGTCCGAGTTTCGGTCTGGTTCGATTTTGAACCGGATTATTATTATTATATTTTCAAATTTTTTTAATACAAATTTCAACTTCAAATTTATTCTTTTTGGCTTGAAAATTAACAAATTATTCAATTTCATACAAAAAAGAAATATTAAGGCTAGAAAAGAGAGATGTTTTGAAATTGAACTTGGGTAAATATTAGTTATGAGAACTAGTTCAGTTTGTAGGGAGTATAGAACCAAAACGGGAACCAGTTAGAACTGGTTCGGTTCGATTTTTTGGATTGGGTTTGACTTTTTGGTCAACATAGGTTGTTTTAGGCTTTTTCAGGTTCGGTTTGGTTCAGTTGATTGGTTCTTCGGTTCCGATGCCCACCCTTATCGTTGGGTTTGATATTTTAGACTTTGTTCTTACTCTGTCTCTTCTCCTTTTTTAGGTTTTGTGAAAATCAACTTTATGACGACAAAAAAGAAAAAGTTTAACGGTGTTAAGTTTCTTGTTAGTTCAATTAGGGTTGTTTTTTTTTTTTCTTTTCTAATTATGAGAAAATTGGGTTTATATTCTAAAGATGATGTCTCCGTTAAAGTCCTTTGTATTAAATTTTAATGAGGTGGCGTATACATGAGAGAAGTCAAGCAGATTATGGCCGATAAAATCTAAGTAGAGGATTCATATCCCTAATCTAAACTACAGTGAGGGGAATTTGAACTCAGGTGTAGAGTGGGAAACATAGCTTGGCTCCTAAAGATTAAAGATGCGCTACTCCTTAAAACCGTGGTTTTGACACTTGTCAAATTCCAACAATATTTACAAAGTTTCAAATAAATAGAAAAAGAAATATTAAAACAATTTGGCATGTATCAAAACCACATTGGTTATGAGGGGGAATTCCTCCTTAATTTGAAGGAGCCAAGCTTTTTTCAATATGTAATAAAAAACCTCAAAATTAAGAATCATATCAATTAAGAGCATTCACAATGGGCTCCTAAACCACATTCTTAGATATATTTTAGGAAGGAATTGGAAAAATACAACTCCAATTATACTCTCTATCTACCTCATAAAATAGAGAGACCTCTCGAAACTCTTTTTTATTTAATGAGTATTTTAAACCTTTAATTAATACCAACTATTTTTTATATTATTTTTTAAATAGAGATAGACCAATTAAAAAAGAGTTATAGCACAAGAATAGAACCAATTTAATAAAATAATTGAAAAAAATCAGATTTAATAAAATAATTACAATTTAAAGTACAAGAATATAACCAATTTTAAAATTGAAAAAAATTGAAAGAATGAATTACTGAAACTGAATCCCACAGCCGCCAAAGACAACCCCACCCACGCCACGCCACCAAACCCAACTCCGCCCTCCTCCCTGTCTCTTATCCCGCCACCCAACCTTCTACCATCTGTCTCTTCTCTCGCCACCCACACCTCCTCCTTCTCTCTCCCGTTTTCTGTCTCTTCGATAACCACCCCTCAGTGTAGAAAGCTTCGTGTGTTTGCGTCTCAGTTGTTTCAGTGCATTTTCCAGTACAACCATGGCTTCTTTCGGCTCTACCCGACGCGAAGAAGATTCGGTAAACAAATTTTCTAAATTCCATACCCTCTACAATACATATGTGCGTATATTTTCTCTGTTTCATTTCTCAGAAAGGAATTTTTTTCTTCAAAAAATTAGGAATGAAACATTGAGCTTCATGTACTGCGTCCTTTTGCTCTTGAAATTAATTTTCCTTCATCGCTTCAGTATGTCTAATGTTTAAATTCCAAATTTTAGTTGGTTTTTTTGTATTGGGTAATTGTTGTTGTCGGAGAATTGGATTAGATTATATTTCTTTGTACCATTCCCTCTTTCTGATTGCTACTTATTTTGAGTATTTGTGATCGTTTAGTACGTTTGGTTGCAGTTTTTGACATTTTCCATCATGCGCTTCACTAAACTAGCGTGTTTGTTATTGAAGCTTATGTTTTGTTCTTTTTATCTGATAGGTTCTGGTACAACAAAATTTGTTTGTGAGGACATTGACATTGAACAGGCCACGGCAATTGAATGCGCTAAACTTTGAAATGGTATCGTCCTATGGTGATGTACTTTACCGCTTTAGTTTCTTGAATACAGAGGTTATATACCTTAAGTGCCATGTAATTAACTATCTTATGTTATTTTGATTTCTTTTTTCTTGGCTGAGGATAGTCTATTTTCATTTTTGTTCATGTTTTCTTCTTGTATCTATTCTCTGTGCTTCATATTTTGCGTTCCTTATCCATTTTGTTCATATCTTAACTTTCTTGAACTAAAGTTTGTGGATTAAATTATACATTTCAAGGATAAGCTTCATTTTTCAAGTGAAGCAGTCACTGGCGTTCGCTTGTTTCCGTTCTGAACTCACATTTACTCTCTATTATTTCCTTGATGTTATTGTCCCATTACTTTTTGTCTTCTTATTGAGGTATCTGGAGAATCCTTAACTTACACTAGATAGTTAAGAAATTTACAAAATCATCACGCTGAAAAATTCCTGTTTTGCTCATTGAAATACTCTCCTGTTCCTTCCTTTCCAAACTGTCTAGAACATACGTGTCCGGACGGAATTCCATATAGGCTTTGTAGAGGTTTTCCCGAACTCTTGTAGCATTTTAATTTGGATGTTATACTGTATAATGTGGTGTTTATAGAGCGAGATGAATGGTAGGACTTTTGAGGGTCAAGAGACTACCGCCAGTCCAGTGGTTGAAGTTTATTGTCCTTATATCTCTTTATCAGTGGGCATTGATTTGTCCACCTGTTATGTGCTCTTCTATTGAAGAGTTTCTGATTTCTTAAGATTTTACTTGCTAGTTTTAGGTAAACTCCTTTTGGAAAAATTTGCGTTGTACTATTGTCCTCAGTAAATGTGCTCTGTGGTACTCATAGTCCTTAGTTGTTTTAATTTCCTGTTTCTTTCATTTGTAGATTTCTCTTCTGTTGGAACTTTTTCTGGCTTATGAGAAGGATGATAATGTCAAGCTCGTGATTGTCAAGGTACTCTTCTTCCACATGCAAGTTTTCATGTATAATATTTAAACTGTTTCAAAGAGAAACAAGAAAGAAGTCAAGTAATATCATCTTACTATGAAGCTAATAGACATATAAAGTTGATCTTTCCTGTGGAGTGTTTGATGTTTGTTAATGTTGAAGCATCTAATCATCTCTGTTTTTGACAGACCTGTGTTCTGTGCTTACATTTACTTTTAGCTACATGTTAAGCTCTTTTTCTTGAGTTTTCTTTAAAATTATGAGCATCAAAGTCTTTTGCTTGAGGCGGTGAATGTAGAATCCTGTGAAGATATAAAGTCAATTTAAGATTCTATTGGGTTTCTTTTCGAAGATAAAGGTTCCTAAGTTAAAGGTTCCTAAGTTCAAGGTATAATTCACGTTTCATTTGTGGCCACACATAGTTATTCATCGTGATCATTTTCCTGATGAATGGTTGAGAGCAAGAGAAATTTTACAGTTTCTTGGCATTAACTAAAATTGGTTTGATACTTTTTTTGATTTTCGGTGCATGTGCATTTCATACCACTTGGGGTATTTGATGTATTGTATATCAATGCTGAAGTATCTATTAATCCTTCTAACCTGTGTTGATTGTTATCTACCTTTCCACTCTACTGACGAATCATCTTCAATAATTTAAAAATATGAGCATCAAAGTCCTTGGCTTCTTGTGGTAAAAATCAACAATCCTCTGAAGCTGTAAGGTCTACTTCCTAGTGGGTTCTCGAAGACAAAGGTTTTTAAACTTAAGGGGAATGCCCATTCATACCACTTCCCCACATAATAATTCATCTTGATCATTCCTTGTGATCGAACAGTTCCTTGGCATTAACCAAAACTGGCTTGATATCTTTTCTATTTTTCTTTTATTCACTTTTATTTTCTTTGGTTTCATTTTTTCTTCGCTTAAATATTGCAGCATCTGAAATGTTACTCACGAAAGACAAAGCCCGACACTATTATCATAAGTAAGCACTAACCATGTAGTAAATCCAAAAGACCGAAGTTGAGGAACTCAATTGACGCTAAGTTCAAAGTTCAGGGCTGGTTTCTTGACAAACCCAAAGTTCTGTTTCTGATAACTTGGGAATTGTATTACCTTTGTTAGGTTGGTTAAATTTACATAAAGTTGTAGGCACATTTGTGCCAAGCCCTGAGCCTGATGTATTTGTGACACGGCACTTGACTATGGGGACTATGGGGTTTTCTGTGGATCATTTCCAACCAAGGTTCTGAACTCTTTTGTGATATCGTGAGTCACAAGATTGTGAATTTGAATGAAAACATATTTTACTTTGATGTATTATGTATTGGGGGATAGAGGCTGCTTTTATGAACTAGAGCTTTAATGTTCATACTCCTGTTTCAGCTATACAGTGAAAGTAAAATATTGTGACAGGTCATCTGTTTTTATGTTTTTAGGGGAAAGGAAGAGCATTTTGTGCAGGTGGTGATGTAGCTGCTGTGGTTCGTCAGATTAACGAAGGCACAACTTCTTTCGTCATCTGTTTTTTTTTAATTTTTTTACTGACCATATTTTCTGATCCTTAACATCAACTGATGAACTATATCCTCAGTTTAGGTGCAAGCATCATCTATCACTTGCGCCTTAAATTTTCAAATAATATCCATTTCCATTTTCTGCATAATTATATTGAACTGTTGAGTATTTATAAATAAGATGCAATAAAAATTACTTCCAATCTAATATTACTGTGTTCGTGGTCTGTATTACTTAGGAAATTGGAGATTAGGTGCACATTTTTTTCAAAAGGAGTTTACCTTAAACTACTTGTTGGCAACATACAGTAAACCTCAGGTGAGCCAGTTCACTTGTTCAGTGTAGGTTTCATATTACCTTTTATTATGACTTCTGGTGTCAGAGGTATTCTTGGTCAATTTAGTATTAATTTGAAAAAATAAAAATTCTTACTGTTAGCATGCACATCATTGAAGGTTTCAATTCTGAATGGAATTGTCATGGGAGGTGGGGCTGGTGTTTCAATACACGGAAGATTCTGTGTTGCAACTGAGAATTCGGTATGTCTCACTTTATCTCATGTCTGAAGTTAGGAAGAATTTCGGCTGCATCCTTTGGATTGAACTATTTTGACTTTTACTTTTTCCTGTTATCTAATCTGGAATAATTATTCTTACTTATTCTAGCTCACTCACTTGTTCAATGCCTTGCTCTTGCAATAAAAAAATGTGTGCTTATTCAATCTGTTTGTTTTTCTATCTTTCTTTGTGGGAAGTTCTGATTCTGAATCCCTTGTATCTCTTATTAATCTTTTGCAGGTTTTTGCAATGCCAGAGACAGCTTTGGGACTCTTTCCTGATGTAGGTGCCTCTTATTATTTGTCCAGACTTCCTGGATTCTTTGGTAATCCCCGCTATATCTTTGGTTTACATATTTGTGTTCTCAAGTAAATCATTTTTTTTCCCTGTACTATCTGTTGTATGATTGGTAAAGGAATATTGACAAGCCCTGAAAATGAAGCCGCTCCCTAGTGAACTGGAAGTATACAAAAAGTTTATAAGAAAGAATTAAGAGTAAAAGTCTAAGCATCTTTAAATTTGGAATAAGCCATGTTCTATAATCCTTGATAGCTCAAAATTAGTAGAATATATATATTTTTTCCATGTTAGTAAAATCAGACATCTATGATGTTCAATCCTTAATTTTGAGCAGGGAATATTTGAACTTGTAATCTACTGTCTTTTTCTACCTAAGAAAAGTTACAACTAGATGACTCATTATAACATAGTTTTAAAATTTCTATTGAACTTATGATGAATAGATGCCTTGTTTATTTAAAGTGTGTTTCTCACAGTATGAAACATAGTTTCTTATCCTTAGAAGCATTGCCACTTATAATTTGAATAGGTTTTTCTAATTATTAAATATGTTTAAGTTTGTTACCACAAAATCAAATTAAGTTTTAAATCCGAGTTAACATCTTGTAGTTATTTTAGTTTTACCTTGGAATTTTTCACTTTGTTTTAATTGTTTCCCTATCTTTCAGGAAGTAGTAAAATTCACCGAATTTTGATGATTGTCTTTTCTGTCAAATGTATAATTGTTTAATTTCTTGCTATGTTTAATCACATTAGTGATGCTTCTGTGTTATGATTCTGTCTGATACTGAACTTTGCAGAAAACCTTTTGTCCTTTATTATTGATTGCCCCCACCCCTAATGTGCTGCAGGAGAATATGTTGGTCTTACAGGTACCAGATTGGATGGTGCTGAAATGCTTGCATGTGGTCTTGCTACTCACTTTGTTCCATCAACGGTATGCTACCCATTACTTTTAGTTTTTATCTATACCAATGATCTTAATTGGAATTTAGCAAGAACATGACCTATGCTACCCATTACTTTTAGTTTTTATCTATACCAATGATATTAATTGGAATCTAACAAGAACATGACCTGATTGGTTAAGGAATTATGCTAATTATAACAAGTATCAGCATGGTTTTACTTTTGAGACTTGTGCAGGTTATTCTCTAGCTTTTTGTATGTTAAGCTAGTGCAGAATTGCAATATGAGTCACATATTTTGAGTGTCATATGTTTAGTCAATAAATCATTCATTCTTCTTTTGTTTGTTTTAATTTTGTAGCAACCGGTGATTTTCAGATAGTCATTGGGCAATAAACTTCTCCTTACATTTACAACTATTTTACTAAACACTGCTGTTTATTTTTATATAAAATATTGTGTTGAGGAAGTGTGGTTAGATAAGCTGCATAAATCAGGTGAAAAATGGTTGGAAAGAGGGAGAAGAATGAATTGGTCATGGAAACCAAAATGCTGGATCAAGTAGCCTGGTGCAGTGCTGTTGAAGGTCTAGCAAACTGAAGTCTACAAATATTTTCATATTGCTAAGAAAAATTAACATCAAAGAACAAAAGGAAGTAAATTCGTAGGACCAAGAGGAAAGGAAGGTGATGTACATAGCGTGGTTGGGGTTTCTTATTACTAAGGGAAGAGCCTGCTGCTTTTGGCAGAAAACTGTGGGTAGGAGAATCTATTGATTTCAAATTTATTTTTAACTTTGTGAAGGTAAAAAGTCCCACATTGGAAAGTTGAGAAACCTGGCAAGGGCTTATAAGGAGTTGGGCTACTCCCTCCATTGCCAATTGGTTTTGGGGTGGAACCTCAATTTCCTTAATGGTATCAAAGCGGGTTAGCCCACGTGTGAAAGCCCAACGGCCACACGTGCTCCACATCACCCAATATGTGTTGTTCACGTGTTAGGCTTGAAAATTCACCACACGAGCGGGGGTGTTTGATAATGTGAAGGTAAAAAGTCCCACATTGTAAAGTTGAGAAACTTAGCAAGGTCTTATAAGGAGTTGGGCTAGCCCCCCCATTGCCAATTGGTTTGGGGTGGAACCTCAATTTCCTTCATTAAACATAAAGGAAATTATGGAATTTTTTTTAAAATCAATATTCGGGCATTACTAATCTCTAGAAAGCATGTACGGGATGGAAATCTAGGCATTGTCTGCATGTTTGTGGTTTTTAGTATGTAGACAACCAATTCAAGTCTATGCGAAGTTTAGACTGGATTCTTCGATCCTAAAATATCATTATTATTCAGATTCACAGTAACCATGAAGTCATTTATACATGTTGTAATCTTGCTTTTAAACCAATTATGCTTTCTTGGTTAGCTTTCATTTCTCTCTCTGTATTATTTCCCAATCATTTATCTAGAGGCTACTTAGTTATTTTGAGGGCTTATACTGTGTTTGATTGATTGGCAGCGATTGTCTTTGTTAGAAGAAGCTCTATGCAAAGTTGACTCGAGTGATTTTGCCATTATTCAAGCAATTATAGATAAATACTCGCAGAACCCAACTCTGAAAGAGAAAAGTGCTTACTACAAGTTAGTATTTCTATTTTTAACCCGTTATTCTAGAATTTGTTTCTGATTTGTTTTTATGGAATGCAATTGTCATGCACCAGATGCTCTGAATTTTCACTTTATGGAATTTACTGTTCTGCATGGTCTTATTTTTCCTCCAGTAGAATTGCCAGTGGAACACAAGATTTTATACACCATTTCTGGAGAGCCCCAGCACAGTTCACAAAATTGTATTAACACCATGAAACCTTGGCCATTGCGTATATTCCTCATTCCACCACAATATTCTTTGTATCATTGTAGAAAGCATATTCTCACGTTAGAATTGTCCAAATTGCTGCACATGTAGAAGTTCTAGAGGTGAAATTGCTGGTTTGTCATAGGTATTAAGGAGAGTAACTACATTCTTAAAAAATCCTTTGGAGACTCAAGAATAGTGTGTCTAGACTTATTATTTGTTGATAAACTAATTATATATTCTTGAAATGCAAAGTTGGGAATATGTTTTTGGTAAATTATTCAGCTGTTTTGGGTACAGGATGGATGTTATAGACAAGTGCTTTTCTAGAAGAACAGTAGAGGAAATTTTATCTGCCCTTGTAAGTTGATTCAAATTTCAAATATTAGAAGAGTTGGTTTATTATTCTCTCTGTGCCTTGTATCTTTGGGAAGTGTATTACTCCTGTGGCTCAATACTTAAATAGTTTTCTTTTAGGATTCTGGTTGTAGATAAAACGTTTACATTTTACTTGACCATACCTTATGCATGCCATTGAAGGAGAAGGAGGCTACAAACAATGCGGATGCTTGGCTAACTTCAACAATTCAAGCACTGAAGAAGGCATCGCCAATGAGTTTGAAGATTTCCTTGAAATCAGTAAGTCTCCTGCAGGCCTTGTAATTGCAGTGAGTTAATTCTCACATATCAAAATGATATGATTAGTTTGTGTTTGAAGCATGGTATGACATATGACCCCCAGAAGAAAGGGGTGTCTTTTGCCTTTCTTTTTCTCTTTATATGGGGCAAGATATAGATTGCTTGTTATGCCCAGGATATGGTATAGGGTTCCTTAAGTTCATTCTAAAAATATGAAGTCATGCTTTGAAAATTTGTAATTGTATAACAAAGCTTGATGCTAATCATGATTATCATCTTCTTATTGTTGAATAGAAGCTAGATTGGACAAATTCTTGTAGTAAAGTGAAATTTGACTAATAGTTCAAACTAGAAAGGAAACTAATGGTTCAACCCTACATATATGTAGGGGTGAGATCTAAGGTCTTTAAGGCCCGCATTAACATGTAATATGCACTATTGTGAAGGGCAAATAGTATATAATTGAAAAATTAGGTACTTCTTTTTATTTTTCCTCAGTAGAAAAGGAGGTCTTTATTGGCACAAAAATGTCACCTAAAGCTAGGAATTTAAGTTTCATAATATGTCTAGGACGTTGTAAGAGCGTGACTTGCACAATTGCTAGGCCTGGTATTAATTTTTATATTGCAATTTTAGATTAGAGAAGGAAGGCTTCAGGGAGTTGGTCAATGCCTTGTTCGTGAATATAGAATGGTTTGCCATGTTCTGAAAGGAGAAGTCAGCAAGGATTTCAGAGAGGTTCAGCTTACTCACTTATTTTCTTATCCACGTTCATTATTTTTTCTTCTGGGTGACTTAAGCCTTGCTTCTAATTTCAGGGCTGCAGAGCTATATTGTTAGACAAGGATAAGAACCCAAAGGTAAATGAAATGGGCATTTTCTTACGTTTCTCATAATTGTGACACATACACACACAAATGCGCCTGCACGCATACAAGACTCATGCACAGAGTCTTTTCCTATTAAGGATATCCTCATTTGGAGAAATGTAAGAACCATATCGTGGGACCACCTGCAATGTGGTTGACAATCTATAATGTATGTTTTAGGTTCCCCTTCAAGGATCATCCATATAAGTTATCACCATTATATATTTTTCTCCGCTGCCGGCAGGGCAAATAATTTAGGGTATAAAACCTTTGTACTCTCACACACACATACACACCCATATATTTATCTGCGTTTGCACATGTTTGAATCATACAAATACGAGCGTTGTGCATTTCTACAACTTGGACTTTAATTTTTTTGGTTTCCTTCTTTTGGTCTGTCATTCAGTGGGAGCCTTCTAAATTGGAGCTCGTTACTAACCATATGGTTGAGCAGTACTTCTCGAAGTTGGATGATGAAGGATGGGAAGAATTAGAACTTCCTGCGAGATCAAACTTGCCTGTAATTGCCATTGCAAAGCTTTGAGTATTATGGTGTTTCAACCTGCACAAACTTTGTAACTTGTGCAGACTATTTAGTTAAGTTCTTGCTTCAGCAGGTACATAAGAGAACACCACTCTAATTCATGTTAATAAAAAAACGAAAGGCCTGTTATTCGTCCATGTAATACGTATTTCTAGGTGAAAATAAATCAGTATATAAAGCATATACGTGCAAATCTGCACAATCTATAAAAAGAGGAATTCATTTTATGATATTAATGTTCTTTCATCATCTTTTTCCTTCTGTGAATCCTTGTTCAACTTTTTTGTTCCTTTTTTGGGTTTCAATAAAACCTTCACATTCTGCAAAACCCATATGCAAGAGTGAAACCCAACAAACAAGGCTGAAAAGAAGTGGAGCAGCAACAAAGAGCACAAAAGCATGAAAAACAACAACAAAGAAACCAAACGACAACAAACCCTTCAGATGTAAAAGTAAATGTTCTTAACTATTTGAGCTACAAGCCTCATGTGTCACACTACTTTCTTAAAACTAAGAGTTTTCTTCCCATTTTATTGTTCTTTTTATTCATGAAGTGTGGGGTCGGTTTCAAAGTTTTGGATCAGAAAAGGACACCCAAATTGCTTTGATTATGTGTTATTTGTAAAAACTTATTTTATTTTATACACATCCTGTTCAATACAATTTCAATACAAACATATTTGAAAATTTGCCTGCACTAATTAATGTAGATGTGCATCTTCTTCTGCATACCGACTATCAACCTCTTCAGCAGCATGTGTATGTCGAAAGGTCATGGTTACTTTAATATGAAAGCAGCTGCTCCGTGACTTGGATGACCAGTTCAAATAGAAACTTCTACTTTATTGATTCCCTACTTACAGTTTTAAATATAAATGCAAATGATTCACTAGTGTAGTGATTTGGAGCAATTGCTCCCCCAAGAAAGGTTATGGGTTCGAGTCCTAGCATCCGTACAGTATATCTGGGTTTAGTATGTTATCGCATCCCTCTCAATAGGAAAGGTCCTTGAAAAAAAAAAAATCATCCATAGGAGTAAATTTTCTTAAAATCATCTATGCATTCCATGTCTCATCTCCACATTTCTAGAGTTTTGTGGGAAATGTCAAAGGCCTTTTAGAAAAAGAAAAAGAAAATAGAAAAAAATCTTTTAGATAAACAAATAATTAGTCAATTAATTTGATGTTGGGTTGGTTCACCTATGCTTATTTAACTTATGTCCTTGTAGCGTTCCATGTGGTCTGCGTTGAGTGAGTTCATAATTAGCAATGGTTGAGAAGAAAAGGAACACTAAAGTTTGAACCAACTATTACAAGTTTCCCGACTGAGAGAGGTGTTTAAAGTTGGACTAGGTGAAGGTCTTTAGCTTCATGTCTTCTTCAATAGTGGAAAATATTTAATCATCTGTTTGAGCTACACCACAATTCTGCATGTTATTCACATATGTGCTTTCATGCCCATTCAATATGCGTTGTTTACATGTTAGACTTAAAAGATGCCACCCGGGAAGGAACGTGTTGAGAATATCTCACACTTGATAATGAAGTCTTTACATTACTGTCTAAAAAATATTGGTCATCTTCTCCAAATGGCAACTAATTTAGGGTTGGGTGCTTATATCGTAAGAGCTCCTAATCAAACTGGTGGGGTCTTGGTCACTGGTCAGACCTGCAACGCAGGACTCAGCGTAATTATAGCATTCACACAGACTTATTAGGTACCATAATTTTCTGACTTCTTTCTTTAGTAATGAAGACTGGTGGACCATTTTTTTAAATTACCCTCAATTTTCTGTCTTTTCTCTTCTTCTTTTACCACATGAATTTGACATTGAATATTATTCATCTTTTCAATTTGTATTTGTTTTTCCATCAATAAACTTATGGTTGTCACTTGGCCAGCATATAAGCCAAAATCTGTGTCATATTATTTGCTACATGGAACAGTAACTTTTTAAAATTTATTTTTAGAATAAGCGATTTTTTCATTGAAAACCAAATAAAAGTACAAAGCAACGATGTGCCGAATATGGGTAAATCTTCTCCAATCACTCAAACGCAACAGCATGTAGAATTGATGAGAGAATCACACATAACCCAAAGAAGACTAAAATCTCTTATTCAACAATTAAAATCACATGTACTCTAACTTGCAATACATATTCACTGCGCAACGGCATAAATGACAAATCCGTATTGAAAGCCAAAGCTAAATAGAATTTAAACAATCTAGAGAGACAAACTACATCAATCTCCTAAAGAGTTCATGATAATTATTAGACTTAATTAAACAAACTAAAAAGCAAGATCACCGCTCCACATCCTCCCGAGCAACTTGAAGAGAGCCATAGCGCCGTACCGACTAAACCCATAGTGCCACACCGTCTAAACCCAAACCCGACATCTTCCTTGTATGCGTGGGCCAAAGACGACGACTATTTCATGGCGACTGCTTTCACATTACAAAACAAAATAACAAAGAAGGATCATGAGGGAAAAAAAGAGAGGGTGGTGGGTGGGGTTGTGGGGTGTGGGAAGGAGATGAGAGGGGATGAGAAGAAGAGATGGGAGGTGGGTAGGGAAGGAGGCCACCAGGTGGTTGAGATTTTTCCTTACCATCCAATTGGATGAGGAAAAATAACTCGGAATTTAAGAGGAGAAATTGACAATACTCTTGTTTGACAACTTAAGCGCAAAATTTATTAAATGACGGACGAAAAAAATTGTGGAAATTGAGACATCAAATTCCCAAGTTTAATTTCCACTAAAATAGTAGTCATTTCATAATTTTCATAGTGCCATTTACAAAATTCGACATACATAAATCTAAATCTTAAATTGCCAGAAATTGAAATGATGGAACTCCAATCGATGAGATATTTAGGAAGCTATGATTATTTATGGGATGACTCATGGATTTATTAAGGCATAACTTATCCACAACAAAATCAAGAGATCTGTTTCGAATTACACAACAAATAGACATAGAATTTCGCATCTATGTGAGTTGAATATATTCTAGGTATATAGTGTGCCCATCCCGATAATGGGAAAAGAGAAAGGAAATAAGTTTAGAAAGCATATCTAGAAGAAGCACATGCAGTTCTATCCGATGAACAAAAAATAAAATAGTAGTGTTACCACCGATGAACCAATATCCAAATCATATAAAATTCTAAATTATTAATTTAGAATCTCCCAATACTAAATACCAGTTCAAATTTTCTTCAGAAAACTGTATCCTGCTGTGTGTTTGTAATTTAATACAAAAAAAGAAAAAAAAGAAAAAAAAAAAACTCTATTAGCTAGAATCATTCACAAATCCCAAATATTCCTTCAAATCATAAGGGAAACATGGGTACCGTTTCCATGAATTGCCATGCATCTTGAAGATCTTCACCACCTTATCTTTAGTAGAAGATCTGCCATCCATGTGCAACAATGCCAGAAGCTTCTTCACTGATCCATACATCAACATTTCCTCCAGTACCCTCTCAGTTGGATGAAAATTACAGACCAGCCAAATGATCTTCACCCCAATCTTGGTGGCAGCATTGGAAACATGCAGCATTTTTTGGGTAATGGCAGCAATGCCCATGCCATGCTCCACCAAGGCCTGCCTTCCCTCAGCACACTCACATAGTAATTTTATCAAATGCAACATTTTTTCACATTTGGATCTGTTGGAGTCTTGCAGCAACTCTATGAGGACACAAACTGCACCTGCTTCAATTGCCCTCAACCTGTTTTTCTTCGATGCTCTTAATATTTCAATCAAGACTTCCAAGGCACATGAACTTGCTTTGCTACATATTTCATCTGAAACAAGCTCCAACAAGGATTTGAAGAAATCTATACCTTGATCTTGTACTATAAAGCTCCAATCATATTCGGTTTTCACCATCTTTCGAAATATGGTAATGGTATGTAGCCGTGCCTCAGCGCTTCCCCGCTGAAGCATGATTGCCATTGATCTGGTTGATTCTTGTTTCGATAACAACTCAAATGTCTTCCCTTCTTCCGATATAGGAAGTTGGTGAAGAACACAAAGAGCCTCCTCACAAGCCCTAAACGTCACGAAATCCGAGCTATCCATGATAGTTTGATCAAGGATTTGGACAAGAACTTCGACTCCATTAGATTGAATAAAATCATCTTTCATCTCATCATCTATCTCGATGATGGATCGGAGTTTCTTTATCGAATTTACCTTGAATGGGGACGACACGACTGTGCTGAGAAGTGCTTGTATTTCATCATGTTTAGCGGAAGGACATGGTTGAGATTGAGATGAAGATGGTGATGAGCAAGAAGATTTCGAATCCTCATTACTTTGCCATGAAACGATGAGCCTCTTGAGGGTGTGATTCGGGATGATACCGAAATTCTCAATGCTTTGCATTGTAGCTGGGCATGTTTTCTTCTTGTAGGTGAAGAACCACTTCTCTATGTTCTTACGTTCGTATGTGACCCCGGTGGAGATGGTGACCGGCTCTTTCATGAGCTCCATGGAAATAGGACATCTAAAATGGCATGGAAGAAAATCCATGGCCTGATCTGCAGGTGTTTTTCTCTCTACCTCAAAATCCACTGCACAAAAACTGCAAAATGAAAGGGAGAGTTTGGGATATGAAATTAACATCCAAGCTTTGCACACATATAAAGTAAGAGGAGGGAGGAGGGTGTGAAATCCAAAAAAGGAAAAAATATTCAAAGTCAATATACGGATATGCATTTGGTAGCTAGCTGTATCATTAAATCTACAAGTAAGCACAGGAAAGTTTCTTTGTTTTGATTTTATTTTTCTTTTATTTTTATTTATATTTTATTAAAGTCTAATTAGCCTATTTGCTACCAAAAGTCTACCATAGTTCTGGTATATTCCCATCTGACCCAATTTTTTTTTCTGTTTTTACATTCTTATCCAAAAGTCTAATGATTATATGAGATCTGCACCTCTGGAAGGAACATTATTTTTGCTTGGTAATACATGGTATAAGTAGCATCATGTCTTTGGTGGGTTCATGTTTAAGATTTAAATCCTTTTCAGGAAACATTGAAATTAAAAGAAATGGGTAACTAAAAAGGCAAAACTTGATTATCTCACTTAATTTGTTTTTTACTTAATCTGCTGCTTCCCAATTATGGCATTCATATATTTGAATACAGTGGTTGCAGAAATAACTATTCACATTCAGGTTAGATGTATATATTGAGCCAATTAATTAGTTGACAGCCCATATATATTTTTT